ATTGTTAGGGATGTATATTGGAAGTGGTACATTTGTAATTCTTTATTTGGTTTACATGTTGTAATGTACTATTATATTATTTATTTATGTATGTCTCTGTCCTGAGTGTTCTTGCGTTTAGTTGTAATGTATTTCTGTCACTTAGTGTCTCATTTAAGCGGTATTTTTAACATTGCCATATAAGCGGGAGGTTTGGCTAGCCATAAAGGTTGATTTTCCCCTTTTAGTCTTTGTTAAATGTGTATTTTTTCAAAAAATTGTGCAGAATTTATCTTTGTTTCAAATAAAGAAATACTTGACATGAGTAAAGTTTTATCCTGTCCAGTAGTATAGACAAAATTTCACATAACATTTCATTGCAGATAGGAAAATAACCATCATTGGAAGTTAACTAATCAAATTTTCACCCCTTTTTTCCTGTGTACAAGCTTTAGTAACCATGTAACCTCAAGTTTCCAAAATTCTATAGAAACACCAAATAAAAAAAATAACGATGCTTTGAAACACCCAAGATATATGTTTATGACTCAGACATTTTTTACTGCAATAAAATGTAGGATTAATTTCCTACAACTGTCAAATTCAAGGGAATATTTTTTTTCGACCCTTTTTCGTATGCAACGGGATGTGACGTACTATGATTTGGTGGTATTACACCTAAAACCTGGTTCAACCCACCATTTGTTCTTAAAATGTCCTGTACCAAGTCAGGAATATGGCAGTTGTTATCAAATAGTCCGTTTCTATGTATGTTGGCGTTTGTTTTTGGAGCAGTTCAGTGTTTATGTTGTTCCGTTGTTTTCCTCTTATAGTCGATGTGTTTCCCTCGGTTTTAGTTTATGACCCGGATTTGTTTCAGGTTAATCGATTTATGACTATTGAACAGCGGTATACTACTGTTGACTTTCTTTATTCTTATACCTTAATGTGAGTTATCTAAATGTAGTTAATCTATTTGCGTAATAAATGTATTTTGCTTTTTTTTCTCTAACAGTCCATTTAATGACAGATCACTGAATTTTCGTCTCAAAAATCGCACAGAGAATGATTTTTTTTTTATTTAATACAAATATTGTTTAATATAATTTAACGATATGTTCCAGATGAATACCAACCAAGTTCTTCATTCGTACCGATCTCATTTTTATGAATTTAATCATATAATTGTATCTATATTATATTATCACATAAAAATATATATGTTTGAAGTAACTTTTTACGTGTACTCTATATGATTAGTAAAACCAATGCAAAAAGAATTTAATAACAAAATTACCGATCTCCAAATTAAATTAAAAATGGGAAGTCATTTACTAGCTCTGAATGATGTTTACCTTGTTGAAATATTTATTTACTTATTCACTTTAATTTCATACATAACAGGATTCGACTTGGTATCTAAGTATCTATTATGCATATTTGTGACATCACAGACTACCAGAACATTCTACTACTTGGCGAATTCCGGTATAACCAAATGTATTTGAAAATAAATGCAAAAAACAAAATTTTAAATAATATAAAAAAAAACGAACCCCAAGGAAAATTCATAACAGAAAGTCCCTTATCAAATGGCAAAATCAAAAGCTCAAATACCTCAAACGAATGGAAAAAAACTGTCATATTCCCGACTTGGTACAGGCATTTCCTTGTGTAGATAAATGCGGTATTTAACCTGGTTTGATAGCTAGCTAAACCTCTCACCTGTATGACAGTCGCATCGAATTCCATTATATTGACAACATGAAAGGGAAAAATGGGGTACAGCAGTCACCATTGTGTTATAATCACTATAAAAACAAGCAGCTATGTCAACAAAACAAAAACAAAATGGCATATAAACACTATAGACAAAGTACATAAGCACAAAAAAGAAAGACAAGAATACAAAAAATGACAGTGGCACAATAACACAATGGCGGAATGCATAAAACACCGAGCCACGCCAAAAAAGATATTACCACAAATGGACTGAACAGTAAAGGTTAAAAATATTCAAAGACAATAAAAGAATACTATAACACGTAATTAAATTAATTAACAACGTCAGTACCTTGAATCTATACTTCAAGACCATCATGTATTATTTGTGAGGTGATACAGAATATACATCAACAAGATCTTGGTATCTCCGATGAACTTTTTGAGATAAAGGACGAGACGTTCTTTGACTTAACCCTGGTTCATCATCTTTCTGCTCAGACACTTGTGACGTTTTATCAAGTCTGAGTAGCAGCTGCAAGCTCTTGTATACCAAATGAGTTTAGAAATGTATATTCCTTATGCAAGTGAAGTTGGTATATTGCTGCTAAGGTGGGAGATATTTATAATTTCAAAATTAAAATCATCTCGTTTGTCATGGATTCTGGTACTGAGATGACCGCATATGTCAAATTCGAGGTATAAGTCTAAAAATGAGACAATGGAACCGTGTCTGTTTGTTTCTTTAATTTCTAGTTCTGGAGGATATATTAAAGGAACACAATTAGAAAAAAATAAAATAACAAAATACCGAACTCCAATGAAAAACAACTGTCATATTCCTGACTTGGTACAGGCATTTCCTTATGTAGAAAATGGTGGATTAAACCTGGTTTTATAGCTAGATTAGATGGTTAATGTCAAGAACATCATCAATATATTTAAATGAATGTGAAGTTGAATGATCTTGCTTCTTTTATCTTCTTGTTTTTGAAAAGTGTCTGACGGAACTCCGACTCATGAAAATAATTAAGAAGATGTCGACAAGGATAGCGCACAGTTCGTTCCCATAGGAAAGCCGACAATTTGTTGAAAACGTCTACCTCCAAAGTCAACAAACACGTTGCCAATAAGAACCTTGAGTATATTGATTACTTGTTCCTTAGTGTAGGCTTTTTTTTACCTTTTTGCTTTTTATTAACAAAATATGCCGTATGGAATCCAAAAGCAATAAATTTATAGCGTATGCTACCATTTTTATATTGAAAAGCATTGTGTTTATTTCTTTTAGACGATTTTCGATTTTCACATGGGGAATGGTGGTATTAAGGATTGAAAACTCAAAGGTTTTGATAGAATTAATATCAGAGAAAGATCAAGATTTAAAATTATCCTTCTTGAGAGATTTTTTTTAGAATCAACATATGGTAAATACAACTACTCGATTAAACAGTTTCACAGTATTTCTGAAGACCTTATTTCACTTCGGACAGCATTTTTGTTAATCTAATGGACAATTCCTTTGTCGCACATGCAGATAAGTCGGTAATGTACCGTTGTTTGTTCGGAATTTTGTGAAGCTCAGATATCCAATACAAACAAGCTTAGTCTTCAGATTTGCTGTTCAATTTAATGTTCATTGAAGCTAAAAACGTATGTCTGAAAGTGGAGGTTTCATATGCAAGAATATCCTATACAAAACTATATCTCTTTATTATTTTTCCTTGAGAAATATGAAACTTCTTTCTTTTAGGATTATAAAAGAATAAGGAGATCTGATTTGATTGGCAATGTGACAAACTATCCACCAGAGTTAAAATAAAACCTGGATATCAGAAAAAAGTAAAACAACAAAAATACCGAACTCCAAAGAAAATGGAAAATGGAAAGTCCCTTATCAAATGGCAAAATCAAAAGCTCAAACACATCAAACGAATGGAAAACAACTGTCATATTATTATTCCTGACTTGTTAAAGGCATGTCCTTATGTAGAATAGATTGTTTCAAAAAATAAATCAAGCCCGTTGAAATATTCTATTAAAATAAGGAATTAAGATGGCCGCCGAGCTGTTAACACTGTAAAAGTCATCTCTTGCAATTTTTGCAAAATTCTTTGTTATTCAAGTGTGGATTTACATATTTTTGTAATTTTCTGATGTATATTGGAATGACTTATCTGTAGATGGATTTTTATGTTAAAATTGTGAAATTAATGACTTTTCCTCAAGGACAGTGAATATTACATATAATATATAAGGAAAAGGAATCTCAGCTATAGATGAATACCCACACCTATTGGTCATTATACCTGGAGGCAGTAATACTTTCAATAAAACTTCCACCAAACCTACACATAGTAGAACAGTAAGGAGTGTTCAGACATTATTGGCAGCTAAAAAGGACAACAAAGATGATAAAGAACCTAAGGCAAAAAGAACTCACTAGTCTTGATCTATCAGGTGTTATAAACTTTCAAAAGGACCTTGATGAAATAAAATTTAGCTTGAGGGATGTTACCACAAAAGCTGATTTGATTGACATTACAAAAGACCTTGTCAAGATTTCAGACTTAGAAAATCTTGTTACTGGCATTGTGAAGAAATTGTTTAGTATGTTTGAGTCATCACTGGAAAAAAAAATGAACGATAAAATTTCTAAAATTGAAAAGGAGATGGAAGAGAAAGTGGAGTCACTATCTATTGAAAATGAGCACCTGAAAAAGAGACTTGATGCAAGAAAATCTTTCATTTTTACGCCGTTGAAAAGAGCGCTAAAAGGTTTAAATGACATAGTGGAGTGTCATTTTACTAGATGTATGACCTTCTGCTGATGATTATATTCATGTTCAATCTTATAACTAACTTGTGGTTTGTTTAAACATAAAAAAACAATGTCAACTCATCTTCTTATCTTCTTAATTTTCTGTATTCATTAAATATTTTGTCAAAGTCCTCTTTTGATCCAATTATCTGTTGATTGCAAAAGCTGGAACAAAAATAATTGGACTTTAATGATACAAATATCTTGCTTTGACAAGCCATGACGTAAAACATGTACAATCAGTTTATGGACATTAGATTAACTTTCCACAGTTCTAAAAGACTGAAAATCTTCAAATCTTCTTGAAGTAGAAGCTGCATTCAGAAATGTTGTTTCCCAAGTAAATATTTCAGACTTTTTTTTTTCATTGGATCAAAAGGATTTTGTGGAGGTTTTATTGTTCAATCTTTAGTTTTCTGAAGTATACACGACATGGGTCTTGTTGAAACTAAATTCATTATGAACCAAAATAGCAAAATGTCATGATACTGAATATAATTTAATGCACTAAAATAAAATCAAATATTTGAAATTTCAGAATCAAAATAGCAAGAACCAAAAGATAATGACGCGAGCCAAGCTAAGGACACATGTACATTAGGCACATAAATGATTACAGTTAATAAACGTTAATTCCCTATTTCAAAATCATTGTCACAAAAAATGAACATCAATTTATTTCATGCACTGTACATCAAGAATAAGACATTTTCGGTCCAATACTTATGCCATTTACAATTATAAACGTTTTTTTTAATTATTTTCCATAAACCAGGCGTTTAACTTAAAAAGTAAGATCATTATTAAAACATACAATACCTCAAACTACTTAAAAAAAGACTGATCGAAGTGTGGAAAATTAAAAGAATGAAAATAACACTTACTACTTCTGGCCGTCCAAACCATCATCTGCCTAACGGAGTTTAAATCATAGTTTTTTTAATAACTTCTTAATTTATCAAGGGAGAATTTGAAAAAGATTTGTTAAAAACCATGGTAGTACCGAAGCACAGACTACTGAATTGATCAGGGACTAACAGTCCACTAGTAGAGGTATTGAACATCTGCGAGTAAAAACAACTTTTTACTAACAGTGTCGCCATTTAAGTTGTTAATATTCTTTTAGCGTTTTTCGATTAATTATGACAAATTGATAGATTTAGAACCTCAAATATTATTTATTCATTATCATAAATTTACTCTTCAGTTCTTGTAACGCCCTGTGTTAAAAAAAAACCTAATGAGAAACCAAGGTAGGTGTAAAAATTACACACTGAACCACAGTCACCACTTGGCGTAAAATAATGAATCAATCACTACACATGCAATTTAAAATTTGCCAAAGTAAAACAAAAATCGGATAAAACACCGGAATGGTTCGAAATTTGTGTAGTAAATTACACGCAAAAACCAGGTAGCATTTTGAGAAAACAATCATGAATAAGAAACGGGTTGTGCATTAAGCAATTTGAAGATTTATGAGGTCATCTTTGAGACTGATAATCCTGTGTTGGTCTATCAAATCATGATATGAAAAGTAAAATAACAAAAATACCAAACCTTAAGGAAAATTCAAATCGGAAAGTCCCTTATCAAATGGCAAAATCAAAACCTCAAACACATCAAACGAATAGATAACAACTGTAATATTCCTGACTTGTACAGGCTTTTCCTTATGTAGAAAATTGTAGATTAAACCTGGCTTTACAGCTAGCTAAACTTCTCACTTGTATGACAGTCGCATAAAACTCCATTATATTGGCAACAATGTGTGAACAAAACAAACAGACATAATAGAAAAATTGTCAAAAATACAGGTACAACAGTCAACATTGTGTTATAATCTTAGTCACTATAAAAACCAACAAATACGTCATCAAAGAAAAACAAAATGGCATATAGTCAAAGCATATAAGCACAAATGAAAGACAAGAATACAACACAATGTGGTTACTCATGAATGGAAAGTTGACATTTGTAAAGCTGAAATCATATATATATATATATATATTCATAAAATAGTTTTTCTTTAAATCAATTGTTGTATGTCACACAAGCTTATCAATCAAATGTGTATTGTCTACATATGGTTATAAGAAGGAGGCGGGTTGGCAATATTTTGGGAACTAGGAACACTGGATTGTTGTCCAAACATTGGATGCATGCCATTTGTAGGCTGTGCAGTGGTCGCTGCTATTAAAGTTGTTCTTCGACCAGCTGGAGGTGCAATCACTCTTCCTGGTTTAGCTGTTGAAATGAAAAACAAAATATTAAGTAAAAAATTGGAAATTATAAAACAGGATTTTATTGTATTGTATCATTTTCATACCTAATTAACTGACGTATATGTTGGTCGATGAATTGGTGTAAGCTACATACGTTATTACCCGTAAAGAAATAAATAAGCGAGTTCTGTTATCATGTTTGTATTTTATATATTCATAATTCAAATTATTTTGACATCAGAAGTATTAACTAGAACTGTAATGAGATGATAAAATCTTTAAAATTTCTCCTTGATAAGATCTGTTTAGTTTCGGCAGTATAATTTATCGACAGGTTTTAGATATACCTATATGCACCAATTCCGGCCATTTAATAATAGATATGTGTCTGTATTGTTATGAGTCACAGTTTATTGGAAAAATCGAAAAATTGAAATATTTTATTACACGTACCATAACTGTGATTTAATTTTGCTCTAAATAAGAAAGACTTTTCGAATGAAACGGCGGAAATATACCAAAGGGCACTGGATTTAAATAAATCTTATATAAACAGCAATACTGTGGATTCATTTATTTTCGGGGGTACTAATCGTTGTACATTGGGGAAAAATTATTTTTTCGTGGATATTTGAATTTGTGATTTGCAAAAGTTAAAATTTATACTTCATTTTCTATCTAATTTTGTGGTATCTTTATATCCTCGAAATCAACGAAAACTTGTACCCAACGAATAAAACGAACCCGTGGTAATTGTCTTTTTCTTGATTTGTTTATTTCAGTTTCACGTGGGAAACAACTTTATACAAAAATTGATAACAAACAGACGATTTTTGTGCTCCCTATTGTTAAATTTTACTTTTTTTCATTTTAATGTTCCTTTGATCCTTCCTTTTTTGACATTTAGTTTGTTGTTTTAAGTGCTGATTTGTTCAGTTAAACCTTTTCCAACTGACTTTAAAGGTTTGTTCTTATATTTTGCGCTGTTACTCGACTGTTGTAGTTTTGAACAGGATTGAGCGCTAACAGACATGTATGTGCCTGTCCCAAGTAAGGAGCATAAAATTCAGTGGTTTGTTATTGGTAGCTATCCTGTCTTATTTGTTATCGTTTCTTGTGGTTGTTTTTTTTATATAAATCTGGCCGTCAGACTTGTTTCACATTTTTTTATATACATAAAAATAAGAAGATGTGGTATGATTACAAAGGGGAGCGAAAGATACTAGAAGAACATTCAAACTCATAAATCGAAAATAAACTGACAACGCCATGGCTAAAAAAGAAAAAGACAAACAGACAAACAATAGTACACAAAACACAACATAGAAAACTAATGACATAGCAACACGAACCCCACAAAAAACTGGGGGTGATCTCAGGTGCTCCGGAAAGGTAAGCAGATCCTACTCCACATGTGGCACCCGTCGTGTTGCTCGTGTTTGTACAAACCCGATAAATAGTCTAATTCAGTAGGTCACATTCGTGAAAAGGGAACGGGATTGTAGTTACGACAAAGGAACATATCCGTTATCATCTGTGAAACGGATATTAAATAACGGTCAACCAACTCGTGATGGCGTCCGTAAAATTTACGAAGGGATGATTTCAACATCACCATTTGGAACTCTTGGTTTAATAGCTTCCTTGTGAGCAGCAACCCTCTATCAATTTCTAGATGTAAGTCAAGATATGAAACAGACTTAACTGTATCTTTTGTATCCTTTATCTCTAGTTCGATTGGATAGATGCGTTCAACATAGTCACCAAATTTTGAATTATTTAGTGAGATAACATCATCTATATAGCGGAAAGTAAAGAAAAGGATACTGCTAACTGTTTTTCTTTCTTCCTAAGAAGTAAGGCCTCAAGAAGAGGGGTACAGTTGGTTCCCACGGGAATGCCGATAGTTTGTTGAAATACACGTCCTCCAAACGTAACAAATATGTTGTCAATCAAGAAATCAAGCATCTTGATAATGTCAGTTTCAGAGAACTTTTTGTTTGAATCTGAGTGATTTTTGACAAAGTAGGATTTATCCCTCCTCAAGACAACATACTTGTATCTACGTTGGCCATTATTTTTATAAAACAAAGCAATATCAACTCTTTCAATTTGTCTGTTAGTTTGGAATGGGGAATACTTGTGTAAAGTGTAGAAAAGTCAAATGTTTTAATACTATTGCAAGATGAAAGAGTCTTAGATTGTATGTACTCTAAAAGATCTTTAAAATTTTTTAGTATCCACATCTGATTCACGCCACCTCTAGAATAGGCAGTTTCACAATAACTTTGAAGCCCGGCTTTGATTGCTGATAAAATTGATGTTAATAATTTAGAAAGAGGCTTCGTGGAGCACTTGGAAAACCCAGCAATATGCCGTTCTTTGTAAGGACACATGTAGTTAAGGTATCCAATACAGTGATGGAAGATCCAGTTCTTCATCTTTGGTTGAAATTTCAAAGGAACATAGAACAGACCTATGAATATCCAGGATTACCTCCTTAGTAAGTGTCTTGGGGGTATATGTCGAGTTTCCAAGTGAATTGTCAATACCTTATTCATTTATCAAGCAGTTTATGTAATGTGATTTACACACAAAAACAATGTTGTTTGGGGCTTTATCTGCGGAGACAACAACATATTTGTCATGGAGGTAGGATTAGTGTTTTGCATCATTTGGGTCTTTAAAGATTGACGTAGCATGGGTATACAAATGAGACAACTCTCCACAAGAGACCAAATGACACAGAAATTAACAACTATAGGTCACCGTACGGCCTTCAATAATAAGCAAAGCCTACACCGCATAGTCAGCTATAAAACCTTCGTTTGATGCCCTTTCATGTCTTTCCTTTTTTGCTTGTGTGCTTTGTTTAGATGCCTTTTTGTTTTTCTTTGATGACATATTTGTGTGTTTTTATAGTAATTATGATTATAGCACAATGCTGACTATTGTACCCCAATTTTTTACATTTTTACCTATTATGTCTGTTTGTTTTGTTCACACATTGTTGTCAATATAATGGAATTGTAGGCGACTGTCATACAAGTGAGAGGTTTAGCTAGCTTTTTAACCAGGGCTAAACCAACTTTTCAAATAAGGAAATGCCTGTACCAAGTCAGGAATATGACAGCTGTTTCCATCGTTTGATGTGTTTGATCCTTTGATTTTGCCATTTGATAAGGAACTTTCCGTTTTTTTTTTCCTTGGAGTTCGGTATTTTTGTTATTTTACTTTTTGCTAAAGTTAAAATATCACTTTGCTGAATAAAAGGATAAAGGAATAAAATGTCATGTGCACATACATTTGTTTCAATTGATTTAACATCGAGAATGTCTAATTATAATACATAGTTTAATTTGCATAATTTTTTATTTCAAGAATGTGACTTTGTGTTTTTTAGATGTTCCAATCAAAAATGTGACACAATTCATTTGGAAAATATAAACTTACAACTGGATTTACAAACAGCAACTATTATACAAGCTAGTATAACAAGGCCTCCTATGCAGCCTCCAACAATGTACCTAAAAATATAACACAAATAGATGAATGGATTAATGTATAACAGAGTGTCATATCGATAACCTTGAACAAGGGTAACTTTATTTCCTACGGACAAAGAATAATCAAAATTATGTTTTTCAACACAATAATGTTTACCCTTTGTTTGTTTATTCAACAGTGAACAGTTGATAACCATTAAGAATTAGTTAATATTTGTATTTTCGGTCATTTTCAACTTATTATTTTGATAGCCTTATTGGTATACTAATTTTTGACGAAATTAAAAAAAAATAGATTTCACCTTTCTTTCCCTAATATATTCACCCCATATCTTTGAATTTACTCTGTTCATATTGTTTTGTTTTATTAACTAGTACTGAAAGATCTTCTCTAATAGGGTGATCCGTAATGTAAGCTGAAGCATTTTTATTTTTACCAAACAACCAATTAATATTGCGACAACTGTATGAATCAACCGCCGTCAAATTTTTGTTGAAGATTAGGGCCAGCTTAAGCCCGCCTCCGGGTGCAGGAACTTCTCGCTGTGTTGAAGACCCATTGGTGGCCTTAGGCTGTTTTCTGCTCTTTGGTCGGGTTGTTGTCTCTTTGACACATTCCCCATTTCCATTCTCAAATTTTACCTGAGTTTAAAAGTAATCCACTCACCCAATTCGCGAGTAACTGATGGAGGAAGAATAAGATGATGAATAAGATGAATAAGGATTCTTATTACATATAGAGGTGCCAGTACAACTGTATCCATAGGGACAGCACCAATTATATCCTGTACAATGGTAGTAACTAGATTTACACCCCACACCTGAAAACGTGACGTTAATAAATAAATAAAGACATGTAAGTTATTAATATTATGTTGACTAATATTACTACTACTACTACTTATAATACTTCTATACTTATAATAACAATAATGGTAATAAACAATAAAATATTTATGATAACACTACTAATAAGTAGATAATTAACCAATGAATGAATAAATGAATAATTAGATGAATAAATAAATAATTAGAAGAATAAATAAATAATTAGATGAATAAATAAATAATTAATTGAATAAACAAATGATTAGATGAATAAATAAATAATTAGATGAATAAATAAATAAATAAATAAATAGATAAATAAATAAATAAATAAATAAATATTAACTTAAATTCGGACATTAAAATTGAGCAATTAAATGCCGGAATATATATCTCTTTGTTCATAATTACACTATGTTTTGTAGATGTTTCAGCTTAGGTTTCAAAATCACAGATTGTTGATTCATTCTTTTCTTAATTCATTGCATTTGAAGTGCTCATAAGTGTATTTCATTTCTTTAACGGTCAAAGAGGGGTTAACAAGAATATTATATGCCGATTTCCTTCGAAATGACATGATCAAATAGATGGATTTAAACGTCAAAATCTTATGAACTCCAAATTGAATGATACAATGTGCGTCAGAATAGTAAGCTTCTCCTGCTTTGCACACATCAACCGTCATACAAATTCAAAGTCGACCCTCAGACTTGACAAAACACCCTATAATGTTAAACAGACGATAGTGGTCATTTGAAATCTATAATTCAGTTTAGCGACTTAAATGTGTGGTAACGATTGGCTAACTCATGACAGCGACAGTACAATTATATCTTTATCTTTATGGATTTCATAATGATATATGATACGTCAGGTATATTTTGAATGATACTAGATTTCTGTTGGTTTTGCTCGCTAAATCTTTAAAAAAATTAAATATATTTGTGTGAAACAGTTGGTTTATGCTACTAAATAATATCAGAAATTTTTCCATCTGCTCCTGTTTGATATGTGCCCTTACAACACAAATGTTTTCTTAATATTGATATATAATCAAAAAGGTTCATTGTGGTCATGGCTTGTTGGAGATTCAAACACAGTTATGCGTTGTGTGTGGACATTTCAACCCTCGCTTACAATCAATTATATCATCAGCTGGTACAACATAATATTTAGTATGACAGAACCATTCATCGCACTATTAGTTAGATAGTTCTAAAAAGAGGTTTAAACTGATCCCTACGCTGTTTCAACTACCGTATAGCGGGTTATTTTCGCGGGGTGTTTATTTTCGCTTATTTTTGCGGGTCAGGGGATTTCGCGAAAATAAATTCCGCGAAAATTAATGCATACGTTCGATACTTTCTAATAGCTAAAACGTTTCGTAAAGTATCTATTTTTCCAGTTCGACGGATCAATAACGGTTTATGTTAATTTAAACAACATAAATGCCAAAGGCCGTTGTTCACTGGCTGTCAGGTGTTAATTAGTTTATTAGTTATATAATAAAATAAATAATAATATAAGAGTGTAAGGTATGCCGTCAAGTATTCTATCCTAATCAATTAGTGTCAAATTTTATAAGAGTAACGAGGAAATCATGATAATTTTATAATCTAATTAGTACATCAAAGGTCCGGTCAATTTTGTAACTAATTAACCTTAACATTTACAAGAAGTTTGTACACCTGTGACAAAAAACCATGTACCGGTATTCTATTGATTAACTGTATGAAAATATAATCAATAAATAAGACGTTATGCAGGTAAAACAATCATTTAACCATAACAATAGACCCTTGTGTGTCAATTTTTACAACTTTTAAACTGGAACCATTTCAGTATCCGCCAAAATATTTAGTTGGGATTAAAAAATCCGCCAAAATAAAAACCGCCAAAATTTTTCGTATACTTTGTTGCCCCTAAATCGCGAAATTTTACAACCGCGAAAATAACCCGCTATACGGTATGACATTAATACGATAGACCTATAAAGATATTATGTTCTTAAAATTATTCATTGAAAACTTTTACAATCAAAGTCTCTCAAAAATAAGACAATCACTTGTATACCAAAAGGAGATTTACCAAGACTGTATACCAAAAACACTGGCGACATGAGCGTTTGGCAAAGTAGATCTTAACCAGGATTAATTCCAGGAAGTTATTTTGTTATATATCATATTTTTTCCTCGGGTACGATTTTCTACAGAAGTGAATGATATACATGATATCCTTCTCCTCATTGAATTTGAGAAAAAAAAAAAAAAACATTTGCTTAAAAATTTGGAAATTTTCAGAATTTTTATTTACCAGCAATACACATTGGATAGTTCTGTTTAGAATGAATGTAATCTGCTACAACACTAGTTCGAGATTACTCTGATGTCTGATGAACCTTTTTTAGAACTTGATAAGGCAGTGGAAAGTCTTAGTGTTGTTCTTATAGAAAACACAAAAACTGTCTCTCTCAAAATAACAAAAGATCCATTTTCAAGGCGTTTAAGGTGAAACCATTCAATATTCTTCCCAAGATAGAACATTTTTTATACTTGCCAAAATGTAGATTTTACCATGCTTTTTTTCAAACATATGATTAAAAGTAAGGGTCACCGTGCTATTTTTAAAGCAGGATCTGCTCACCCTATCGGAGCACCTGAGATCACCACCAGTTTTTGGTGGGGTTCGTGTTGTTCAGTCTTTAGTTTCCTATGTTGTGTTTTGTGTACTATTGTTTGTCTGTTGGTCCTTTTCTTTTTTAGCCATGGCGTTGTCAGTTTATATTCGACTTATGAGTTTGAATGTCCCTCTGATATCTTTCGCCTCTCTACTTTAAGCTAGAGGTTGTGCAAAAGTATCCAATTTTACGTTAATTATTCACGAAAAACACGTTTGGTATGTGCAAAATGAAATTTATGAGATATAATTCTGAAATAAAATATGAGATGATAGGTTTACAATATGCGTTAATAAAATAAAAAGAAAGCATGGTGTCATCGAACTTGTTTTTTTGCTACAAGTAAAAAATGCAAATGTCATTCACAATCCTTTATTCATATTTTACTAAAAGATTTATCTCCTCCTATATGGCTTAGTTGAAAAATTCCTTCAAACAAAAACAAATATTTTGTATTTGTTAAAACAGTTATATAATGCAATACATCACTTATTTTTCTTTATAAATAAGAAGATGTGGTATGAGTGCCAATGAGACAACTCTCCATCCAAGTCAAAATGTATAAAAAGTTAACAATTATAGGTCAAAGTACGGCCTTCAACACGGAGCCTTGGCTCACAGTCTAATCTATATAAAAAACGAGAAACGAGAAACACCTATGAACCACAACAACAATCGACAACATTATTTGAATTCAGTCTAACATATTAATTGCCAATCTGTTTCTTAACTTGCAGATTTGAGCAAAGCACTAGACCGTTTCTGTACTACTATTTTAGAATCCAAGATGGCGGTATACAGTTAATCTACCTTAAATCAAACAATATTCGAATTCCTATTCATTTTTCTCTTCGAATATGATTCTTTTATTCACGTACACCCCAAATCAACTTTCCATGTTACATTTATTTTCACCTGTCTATTTTATTTCAATCCATGTCCATTGCATTGTGAGTGACCCGCATATATTCACAAGATTTGCCTCCTTATCCAAAATTTGTTTCTATGCAAAATTCGCGCATGGCAACTTCTTGCATAATTTACCTATAATTATTTCATATACCATTAGGAAAAACGCGAGATCTGTATATGTACTGTAACCTATAATGGTTTACTTTTATAAATTTTGACTTGGATGGAGAGTTGTCTCATTGGCACTCATACCACATCTTCCTATATCTATGTAAAAAAAATGGAGAGTTGATGGAAATAATTATTTCGTTTATGCTACAGGGGTGCTAGTATGTTAATAAAAGAGAGGCGGAAGATACGAAATGGACATTCAAACTGATAAGTCGAAAACAAACTGACATCGCCACGGCAAATAACGACCAATAAATATACGAAATTATAATAGGAGGGCACATTTGGCCTCTTGTTCAAATCAGAAGTTCCTGTTTTTGTACTACAAAACTTCCGGGAACCAGTGCGCTCTAATATGCAATTAAAGGTATGTTGACTTCTTCGGCAGAAGTCAGGCTAAGGTACAGTTTTGACATGAAATGACTTCCACTTTATTCGAATTTAAGACAAAGTAGCCATTAATGCTGGAAAATGCAGAATTTAACATAGAAAGCAAAGGGCTATGAATTAGTGGTTTTATTCCTTATATGACATATCATTTATCTTCTGTCTCTCCTTTACATTACATTTAGATTAAAATAAATATCTATTTATTTACCTCTCGTCATTTTGACTTTATGTTGCTATGTGAATTGTTAAATACAAAAAAGTCTTAATTGGACACAAAGTTTTATACGTGTGCATGCAAAACAAATTTCTTGTTAGAGGGGTCTAATTACAGCACAAACAACAGTTTTCAAAGGACCAAAAAAGTGAAAAAGTATATTTTAACAAAACGTATTAGACCAACAGGTCGAACAACAAATGTTCTTAAACCCTGCTGACTGCCATTGGCGATTGCCAAAAAAACGGATCACCGTTGTAATGAATGGATCTTAATTATAAATCTAATACTAAACAGAAAACAATAAACTTGCGGAAAAGATGATATACCGCAAACAAAAGGTGCAAAGGTTTTTGTACACCATATCCGGATTTCGACAATTAATGTCTCTTCCATGATGTAAGGAATCGAAACGGCATTTGGAAAGCCATATAATTTACCTCAATTTAGGATAGACTCTTGAATTTTGAGGAGTCAAAATAGGATGAACGGATCATATAAAACCGAAGGCAAATATAATACAAGCCCAAACGAAAAAAATGTAAACAAGTCTAAATTGAAAACAACGTTCAAACCTATGATTGCGTTGGATAAAAACCAATATATTTTTTGTACACCATATCCGGATTTCGACAATTAATGTCCCTTCAGTGATGTTAGGAATCGAAATGGTATTTGGAAAGCCATACAATTTACCTCAATTTAGGATAGACTCTTGAATTTTGAGGAGTCAAAATAGGATGAACGGATCATATAAACCCGAAGGCAAATATAATACAAGCCCAAACGAAAAATGGTTAAATACATATACTCTCAAGAAGTTCTCTCAATTGCGTCACATTATCATTACAAAATTAATTAAACAATTGAGCTTTTTTTTATTCTTTACGGAAAGCTAAATGTTAAAAGAAAAGCCTGTATAATGTACTGTGAAGTCAAAATCGATAATTGATATTGATAAGGGTCCTTTTTGTCCTTGAAATGAAATCCGAATGGAAGGCATATATATTTTTTTCAAGTTCAAATTTGCATATTTTCGACGTATACGAAACCTTAACTATAAACAATTACTATTTGATTTATTATAATAATAATAGAATACAACTCAAATTCATTTTGTTTATGACTGAAGTGTTGATATCATATTATTTTTTTAATATTTATTATTTATGTATTAATTGTTCAATTCTATGCTCTTGAATTGAGATAAAAAAAAAGATGCTAAATCCAAAATTCAAGCATTTGTAGAATGATAAAATATTGTTGTGTGCATTAAACCTACCTTTCACAATATTTATAAACTCAGAAATAGTAATTATGAATAAAACGAAATCCATCTCAGTTCTTTTACATTCAAAACTTTTCGAAGTCTCTTGTCTATCATTATTACAAATGGCTTATATAGATTTCTTTTCAGATTGTTTTTCATATGCAAATTTTATAGACCACTGAACACGTCCAAGCTACATTGGTATTGCGAAATTTCTACTAAAATTTCAAATCGTTTTATTTAAATAAATCCGGGTTTAAAACAACTATGATTCTCACATAATTGCTTTTAAAGGAGTGAACCAAATCAATTACATTATTATATAATTAAAATAATGATGAATATCCTTAAGATAACTAACAGTAAATACCACCTGTAAGCACTAGAGACAACAAAAACAAAGTCAGATGACAATATTAAGGAAAGATGCATCAACGACAACAGGTCAAGTAACAATCAAGAAAACTTATAGAAACACAAGTTAAGTCATTATATTTGTCGTTAACCAAGTGAAAATCCTAAAACAGTTTATGTTAATGGGTACACAATCAATGCCCTGTCAAACGTTGTTCAATTTAATTGAATAAAATGGAATCAAAAATACTACTTCACTTATGCAGATGAAGTTTTTTTGTCTTATAAGCATAATTTAAATGCCATATTTTCGTTCTAAATTCTTTCTTGACAAAGTTGACGGGTTTATTAACTGTTGAGGCCACACACATTCTATTGTTGTGATATTGTCATTTGCATCGATCAGAAAATGATGATAAATAGGACGTTTTGGTGTTAATTATTAAACAAAAATTACTTATGCTGTTGGTCTAAAATTTTTCTGTGATAGAAAAAAAGGTGAGAACCAATGCTCAAATGAACATTCACCAAAGTTAGCATTGTTATAATTGTACGTTTACAATATTTTTGTATATAGAAAGTTTGTTAAAAAAATATGTTCGAAGGAAATAACATAATTTATCTGTTTTAAAAGAGAGGTAAAATAATAGTATAATGCAGGTTCAAGGCCGAATTATTGTGATGACCGGCTTGTTTAGACATTTTTTTTAACACTATGAAACGGTTGTAAGAAGTCAGTTTCTTAATGTAAAGGAGCTGATTAAACACTTAAAGTACTGTTAATGTTCTCTAACAGAATAGTCACACCAAACAGATAGTCACACCAAACAAAATAGTCACACCTAACAGTTTTAATTCAAGAGTTCAAAACGAGAACTTTGAAAAAAAACCATCTAGATTTGAAAATGAACAAACAAATCTGAATCGTTACAGGAGTAAGGCGATCACAGAAGAGCGAGTCGGGTTGGGAATAGCGATGCTTTAAATTGACTATGTCATAGAGTGTCAGATAAAAGTATACTTTAGCTGAGTATGCCATAGAGTGTCAGATAAAAGTATACTTTAGATGACTATGTCATAGAGTGTCAGATAAATGTATACTTTAGATGACTATGTCAAAGAGTGTCAGATAAAAGTATACTTTAGATGACTATGTCATAGAGTGTCAGATAAAAGTATACTTTAGATTACTATGTCATAGAGTGTCAGATAAAAGTATACTTTAGCTGACTATGCCATAGTATACTTTAGATGACTATGTCATAGAGTGTCAGATAAATGTATACTATGTCAAAGAGTGTCAAATAAAAGTATACTTTAGATGACTATGTCATAGAGTGTCAAATAAAAGTATACTTTAGATGACTATGTCATAGAGTGTCAGATAAATGTATACTTTAGATGACAATAAAAAAGTAAAACATGTAGAACCAGTGTTTCCAGCAGTAAAACTAAGAATTGTAAAATTGCGTAATTTGAGAATAAATTATTCATTTCCAAACTGTCGTGAAAAGGTTATGTTTCTTTCATTTTCTTAAATTTAAAAATTTGCTTAGGTGAAAAATTGAAAATCCTAACGCACTTTTATATTCAGAGGATTGACTTTTAAAAATAGTGTCAAAATGAAGTGGAACCAGTACTAAACTTCAAGTGGATCCCTCCATAACTTCCTTTTCCCAGCCATCGTGATTTATTAAAAGGTTTTAATTTCAGATCATGTGATAAAACATTTTGATTACAAATTATAAAAGAAACGATGCGGATCATTAAAAAATAATAACTTCAGATTTGTCAAATAAAAGTTCCCTTTGAAGAAAAGCCGAATCCGGTTGTGTATGAAAATGACTTTTTTATGGACTTCCCCTTTTTGAATTGACATTGGTTTTCGGATTTTTTGTAACCATTACAGATATGACTTAACCGATGCTATTTACATTTGAAAAATTTAATAGGCTTACTTTTAGCAGCAAAGAAATCACGATAGGAAACGCAAGCTCTGGAATAGTGTACCAACAGACACGTAAGCACTCTATATGCAGGCGCTGCTGGAATACTGCAGGACATTTTACAATCGGAAAGCTGAAATGATCTCTTTTGTTACGGTCACAACTGACCGTTATTATCATTTCCTAGTTGTCAAGATATGAGGTAGACTCAACTATATCTATGGTATACCTTATCTTAGTTTTATATGAGTTAGATGCGTTCAACATAGTAAACAGACTTTGAATTATCTAGTGATAGGGCGTTATCTATTTAGCGGAACGCAAGTTTTAGGAAAACGCTAGCATCTTTTTGTTTGTCATGATAAGCTCCAGCACGAACAGAAGAGGAAAATTGTTGTGTTTGTAAGAAGTTTATGTCAAAAAGGTAAAGAGACGATGAGTTCTCTTAACAAAATGGATAGTGATATTTGTAGGCATTGTGTGCATTTCACACATTGTGCAAGTACATTCCTGTAAATATCAAAATAGGTGGATGTGGTATGATTGCAAATGAGACAACTTTTCACCATAGACCAGATGAAGACCATAGAAGTTAGCAATTAAAGGTCACCTTACGGCCTCCAACAAAGGTATACCGATATAATGACAGCAAAGAAGTTAATTTGTTTTGCTATTTGACATTTCAAGTCCGAACTTTTACGACTAACCATTTCTCATTACTACTGAAGAAAATAAAACAGATTTAGGTTTTTACAATTGAAAATTTAAAGAAAATACTTAGATAACCGATTTATATATAACTCGGGATAATAATAATGTCACTACCTTTACTATTAATACTATTAGTTTTTCAAAATAACTCTCATGCATCTTTGAATTTTACAACACTGATATGTACTTACACATAAAATACATTTGAATTGTTGATTTTTCAAACTGTTCAAGCGAAAAGACAGTGCACATCTTTTATTTTGACAATCATTTACAAAAGGCACGCGAAATGCAACGAAATATCGCACCAAGTGGAGATAAAGTCCACTCCCACAACTCATCATGTTAAACTACTAGTAATAGTGTTCCTATTGTCACTGCTCTATATAGTAGTTAAAGAAGTCGTTATTTATTAACCATTCCTGTATTATAGCACATTCTATTCAGTCGGACTGTTCGTCTCCTTTGACAGAATTGATTCTTATTTACAACATTTTAATCCTGTTTAATCATATACTTCAATACTTTAAATCAATATCTACTGTATTTTCGACACGAAGAATGTTACAAACACAAAAAAGAGGGACCAAAGATACCAGAGGGACAGTCAAACAAAGTGTTGTTACTAAAATATCTAGAGGTACAGTAGCGGTCATATGCCAAAACCAAATCTCACTAAATTGTCAGACACGCTAAACTTGCGAGTCTTTTTGTGTCGATGGGTTAGTGTCTTGGTGACTAATTGACATAAACGCTGTCTCCTTTAATCAATATGTCAAATCCCTTACAAAACTATTCAATATGAATTATTCTGTAGAATTTATTTTTACTATCATACATTTTTACTAACATTGTTTGATTATTGTTAAACAAATTGTAAATCTTTATTCTGAAACAAGAACATAGTGGGGGTTCTCATCTAATTTATGACATTGTAAACTTACTACACTGTCAAAGATGTTACTGTGTAATCACGGGGCAGACACATACCACCAGTAATTTACTGAAAAAGTAAAATAACAAAAAAACCGAAATCCAAGGAAAATTCAAAACGGGAAGTCCATTATTAAATGGCAAAATCAAAACCTCAAACACATCAAACGAATGGAAAACAACTGTCATATTCCTGACTTGGTACAGGCATTTCTATATGTAGAAAATGGTGGATTCATACTAAGTACTATATTTTGTCTGAGAGTCGACTTATGTCTAAAGAATCCTCGACCAAGTCTGAACCATACTAGACAATAAACTGAAATTCAGAGTGATATTATGGGTTATGACAAAGATTTATATGTTAGAGTTGATATTTAAATTAATTCCCGTTCAGACTATCATTAAACATAATCTGATACCTTTGTCTATAGCTATGATCCTTGATTTTATCAGATAATGATTATTACTATACATAAAGCTTTCGGTCTTGGATGCATCATTTTTTTTTGCTTTGAACTAGCTGTCAGTAAATGCGAGTACTCTCAGATCTGTACTTAGTGTCTTTTTGTTGTTTGGATGTACAAGTACCCGGCCACGTCCACTTGTATTTGTAGTATTTGTATTTTTATCCATCTGATGAGTTAAGCCTCTTTCAACTGATTTTTATAGTTCGTTCTTATGTTGTAATGTTACACCACTGTCCCAGGTTAGGGGGAGGGTTGGGATCCCGCTAACATGTTTAACCCCGCCACATTCTGTATGTATGTGCCTGTCCCAAGTCAGGAACCTGTAATTCAGTGGTTGTCGTTTGTTTATGTGTTACATATTTGTTTTTCGTTCATTTTTTGTACATAAATTAGGCCGTTAGTTTTCTCGTTTGAATTGTTTTACATTGTCATTTCGGGGCCTTTTATAGCTGACTGTGCGGTATGGGCCTTGCTCATTGTTGAAGGCCGTCCGGTGACCTATAATTGTTAATTTCTGTGTCATTTGGTCTCTTGTGGAGAGTTGACTCATTGGCAATCATACCACATCTTCTCTTTTATATTCAATATACTCGAGTCAGTAAAATATTTATCCTGAAATAGTTTCTCCTAAACATATTGTTTAAACTTATGCAAATGTATTCATTACAGTAACACATTTATTGTTTTTGTATTATTCTTTAATCAAAGTATCAGCTTTTGTTCTGGGTGGTGTTTCCTTCTCGTAGGTATTAAAC